GGAAACCTTGAGTTATAGAGTTGAATTTCTTCAAAACACGGTCCTTTGTGTATTCCTTTAATATCAGACTGTGTCCAGTATCTTTGATATGAGGCAATGTATCTTCAGTTTTTGTCAGTAGTTGAAGGATAAATACAAAATCATAAGAAAAAAAATAATCTTTCTCTCTGCCATCTTTGGCCTCTAGATGCCCTTAGATCAAAGCTTTTAAACTGTATCCTGCTGTTCCTCTCCAGGTGTCAGGTTTTCGCAGCTACGTGGACATGTATGTGAAGGACAAGGTGGACGAGCTGGGCAGTCCCCTCTCTGTGGTCCATGAGGTGGTCAATGAGCGCTGGGAGGTCTGTCTCACCATGAGCGAGAAAGGCTTCCAGCAAGTCAGCTTTGTCAACAGCATTGCCACCACAAAGGTATTACCTCATATTCATAACTTCATCATCAGCTGTAAGATTCTTGACGTTCTTTGTTTTATTTGTAAGAATGTACAGCTGAACTGACTGGCTGTGTTTTGGCAGCTAAGTTCAGATCTGGCTGCTCTCCAGAACTCTGTCATTTCTGACTGAAAACATTTCTTGTGTTAATAAGATGTGCTGATTGTTTCCTTTGGCTCTCAGGGAGGCAGACACATAGACTATGTGGCTGACCAGGTGGTTGGAAAGCTCATCGAAGTGGTGAAGAAGAAGAACAAAGCCGGCGTGACTGTCAAGCCTTTCCAGGTATTTTGATTTACATTTTCTGTTCTAATATTTTTCTTGTAAAAATGTCAAGTTTTCCATGGACTCACATTGTTTCAAATTTTATCTTGTACTTTAAACCCAGTCCTTCCTGTTTCTCCTTCTTTTCTATATATAAAATCAAACATGTTGATAAAGGGCTGGACAATTAATCAGTAACAATATACATTGCTATGGACACGTGATCAATATCAATAGATGATGCTTTGTACATCTGATAGAATTTCCAATGTTTTTGCTGAACTCCAATCAAGACCCACACAGCATTCTGGGGGATGTAGGCAGAGGAAAGGCTTTGGCAGCTCAACCTCTAGGCCCGCTATGCAAGGCTGGTGGCATCAACTCACTCATTCTTTGGTTACCTAGCAACAACCTGTTGAGTAACTTGCTGCAGCAGCAGTTTAAGGTTTTGCCATCCTGCCTCATAACTGCTTAAAAAATAAATTAATTAATTAATTAAAAAACTGGATAAACCAGTAAGAGGAATGTCACCAGTTTGGCAGTATTTCAGATATTTAAAATAAAAAAACTAATCAATAATTATAAATATAAACTGATGTGAAACGCTTGTATCATGATGTATTTTTTTAGCCCTATATTGTTGTTGTTAAAAATATTTTTCTTTAGTTGCAAATGCAAATGCACTGCTACAAATGATCAAATTCACCATAAACAAATGCTGATATATTTTGGGCAATGAAGTGCTTATTTAAAAAAAAAAAAAAAGGAATTGAATTATTATTATTTTTTTGTATTTCTAACCTTGTTTATAATAAGCTCATGTAGGTGATTGAGATTTTTATTGTGCCAATTTTATCTGCTTAGAATAATTGACAGCTATCAGTTAAAATAATCATTAGCTGCAGCCTCATTTCCTACATGTCTTTGTCTTTCTAGGTGAAAAACCACATGTGGCTGTTTGTCAACTGCCTGATCGAAAACCCCACTTTTGACTCTCAGACGAAAGAGAATATGACCCTACAGCAGAAGAAGTTTGGCTCCACTTGTCCACTGGGTGACAAGTTCATAAAACAGGTGCTGGTTTAACAAAGCGGTTTGTGTAGAACTCGGATATCCGTCTGTCTCTAAACGCTCCTTGTTTATTTGTCCTTGTAGGCCACAGGATGTGGGATCGTGGAAAGCATCATGAACTGGGTGAAGTTCAAAGCTCAGTCTCAGCTCAACAAGAAATGCTCAGCGGTGAAGCACACCAAGATCAAAGGAGTCCCGAAACTGGACGACGCCAACGATGCAGGTAATTTCTCTCACCTCTGTTATCATTTAAAAAAAAAACTGAAACTGCAGCCATTCAGTGTTAACCGTTTTCTGACAGGTGGGAAAAACTCCATTGGCTGCACGCTGATCCTTACTGAGGGAGACTCAGCCAAGACGCTGGCTGTGTCTGGGCTGGGAGTGGTGGGACGGGACCGCTTCGGTGTGTTCCCCCTCAGGGGAAAGATGCTCAACGTCCGGGAGGCTTCTCACAAACAGGTGGCGCTCCACAGCAGGAAGTTCAGACCAGAGGTGGTAGAGAATCAAAGGGGCAGTGTTATGTAAAATCCACTTTTCTTTTCAGCTTTGCATCCCCCATCAAAAACATGCCTTTAATCTCCTGTGGCAACCACTCAGCTGTGAAAAACAGCTGGGTGGACCTACCACCTCCTTCAAGGCAAAGCTGCAGTTTCCAAGCTTTTGAGCTTCTCTCTCCTTCAACCCCCCACTTTGCTCCTTCAGACTAGCCACCAGCAATTAGCAAACACCTGGTGGAATTGTTCATCTGCTGAGCTCATTATAGGAGCTGCTTCTCAATGCAACACTGGTAAAAACGTTGTTAAGGGGTTAATAGAGGAGTGCTGCTGTGATGACTTCCTGTAGGTAGAGCATGGGGTTTTTTAAAGAGACAGATGCCCAATTTCAAGGCGTTTAAATTACAAAGTTGTTTTTAATGTGTAGCATTTTTATAACAACTGAATGTCACATAATGCCATTTTATAGCATAATCAATTAACTAATTGCCTTTAAAGCACATAATGCTGCCCCTTTAAAGGTTTTTGGTGAATTACGTTTGTGGCATTCAAAGCTTGAACACATTAACTGGTTTTGTCAGAAAAACCAAGTCTAGCATGGAGAACTGATGATAACTTTCTTTTTGTCGTCTTCTTCCTCAGATTATGGAAAATGCTGAAATCAACAATATCATCAAGATCCTCGGTCTTCAGTACAAGAAAAACTACAGTGACCCAGAATCCCTGAAGACGCTGCGTTACGGGAAGATCATGATCATGACAGATCAGGTGACCTAGCATCTTATTCTTTTTTATGTCCAGACTTTATTTCCTGGCTCATGTCAGCATAATAAATATCTGAAGTTAAAAAAAATATCTTTTCATTCATTTACCTTTATATTTGTCCATCTATTCTTTAATGGATCTGTCTGTCATTCCCTTTGTCCGTCCTGTATTTACTCCATCTGTCTGGTGTAATCTATGAACTGCCAACTGATACCCAATAGAAACAACAATATGTAGACGCTTTATAAGCACAGAGAGCTTTGGTCAGATTACCCTTACTGTATGTTTACACCAACATTAACAGGACTCTGTAAAATTTAAAAGCTATGAAAAGTTATGCAGAACCATTGACATCAGTTTCCACAAATCTTTACAATGTGACTGAATTATATTTGTTGTTTTTGACAGGACCAAGATGGATCCCACATTAAGGGCTTGTTGATCAACTTCATCCATCACAACTGGCCGTCGCTGCTTCACCACAACTTTCTAGAAGAGTTCATCACACCCATCATCAAGGTAAATGGACTCAAGATTAGGGCTGAAGCGATTAATCGTGATGAATCGATTATCAAAATAATCCTCAATGTATTTAGCAATAAATTAATTGTTTGCTATAGTATACAGACTAAAATAATGGCTGAAAATATGACAGTAAGCAAAAACTGTACAAAAAATGTAAATGTTTTGCATTCAACAGAAAAAAACTGTCTGTAAAGGCATTCTACCCAGAACTCATCAAATGGCAGTTTTAACTTCACCTGGTTCAAATTCTGTAAAAAAAAAAAAAATCTCCTATTAACCACTTTTGCTGTTCAGTTATTAATCTGTCAACAGGTTAGCCCTATGCTATGTTGATGTCAAGTCCAACAGAAAGGCCTGAGCTTTTCACATGTTGTTAGAAATATATTTTTTTTATCTGTACAAATGATCAAACACTCACTAAAGGAATGCTGTTGTTGCATTTTAGGGAATAAAAATATTTTATTGTTTAAAAAAAGAGGGGCCTAAATGAAAAATCTGACTAATGTTCCAATTTTCTGTATTCAATTAGTTGTCAAAATAATAAATGACTAAAATGATCATTAATTACAGACCCACACATGTAATTGTTCCAGTTTTAGTTGTTTTAAGTTGAATAACTTTCAGCTGAAGCTCACAATTTTGAGTTTCAGTGAACAAGGATTTCATAAGAACCCACCATGTTTATAACGGCACTGCCCTCTAGTGTTAGAAACGGTATAGGATACATTGTTTTATTAACATTTGTTTTTCCATTTTCTACCTTTGTCCAGTTTTTCTGAACAGAATCATTTTTCCATTCCTTTAGGTATCTTTCAAGAAAAGCCAGCTGTCCTTCTACAGCATCCCTGAATTCAACGCATGGAAGGAGAGCCAGCCTAACCACAGATCCTGGAAAATCAAATACTACAAAGGTTTGTTCCAAACCCCTGTGTGGTAGTAGAACACAGTCAAGTAAGCAGCACAGTTATTGTCAAGAATACAGTTTCTGGCTGTTGACTCTGTTTTATTTCTATAACTTCTTTTGTTGTGCTGCACAATCCCTCCAGGTTTGGGAACCAGCACATCACAGGAAGCCAAGGAGTACTTCTTGGATATGCAGAGACATCGTATCCCCTTTAAGTACTCTGGCCCTGCAGATGATGAAGCTATCACCCTTGTAAGATCTTCCTAATCTGTCTCTGACACGATGATGGATATAACTAATAGTTTGTCTCATATTTAATGGACTGACATTGTTTGATAGGCCTTTAGCAAGAAGAAGGTGGATGAGAGGAAAGAATGGCTCACCAACTTCATGAACAACAGGCGCCAGCGCAGGGAGCACAACCTTCCAGAGGTAAAGGCCGACTGGTTTAATAAACTTACTGCTTTATAGATATTTAAAATAAAGCATCACATGTCTACCTGGTTTCCAGGACTACCTGTATGGTCAGTCAACAAAGTCCTTGTCCTATAATGACTTCGTCAACAAGGAGCTCGTTCTTTTCTCCAACTCTGACAATGAGAGGTCCATTCCTTGCTTGGTGGATGGTAGGTGGAATTATTTCTGTGCTTTAAAAAGAAACCTGACTTCAGTCCAGTAGGTTGGTGTAACATGCTGGTGTTCTCTGTGTTAAAGGGTTGAAACCAGGACAGAGGAAGGTGCTGTACTGCTGCTTTAAGAGGAACGATAAGCGGGAGGTGAAGGTGGCCCAGCTGGCCGGCTCAGTGGCTGAGATGTCAGCCTACCACCATGGGGAGGTGAGAGCCTGTAAATCAGATTACAATAAATCAATTTTACCAATTAATCACATTTAGGTTTAAGATTTCATTTTTGGAAAATATGGAAAATTTGGCTTTTTATAGTCCAGAGTGACGGCCGACATTTTTTTTTTTTTTTGACAAACGTTTTAAAACTTATATTTATTTGAAATGACAAATTTGTCATTTGTTATTTTGTTTTTTAGAAAAGAAAGTGAGGAGAAAAAAAATAGATTAAAATCTGATCTGGTTTGAAAATAAATCTGCAATTTTTATTTTTAAGCCTTATTGCCCTAACCTTCATTATCAAATGTTATTTGTGTTAAAGAATAATTCTTTTAAAAGGGTCATTGATCGTAGTTATTAATTCATTATTTTCAGCTTGAAATAGATTTTTATTTTACCTGCTTTACATTGTGATCAGTTCTGATTTTAATTAAAAGTTAATTTTTAATTTCCAGGTATCTCTGATGATGACCATTGTCGGTTTAGCCCAGAACTTTGTGGGAAGCAACAACATGAACCTGCTGCAGCCTCTGGGACAGTTTGGAACTAGGCTGCACGGCGGCAAGGACTCAGCCAGCCCTCGATACATCTTCACCATGCTCAGGTCCCAACACGCTTTCACCGACTCCAAGTCGAAGACGCTCCGGGTCGTTATTTACAACGCGACGCTAATGTCTGGTCTTTTTTCTGCTTTTAGCCCCTTGGCTCGCCTCGTTTTCCCAGCAGTGGACGACAACCTGCTCAAGTACAACTACGACGATAATCAGCGCGTTGAGCCCGAGTGGTACATTCCCATCATCCCCACCGTGCTGATTAATGGTTCTGAAGGTATCGGGACCGGCTGGGCCAGCAAGATCCCCAACTACGACATCCGGGAGATCATCAGCAACATCCACCGGATGCTCAACGGCCAGGAACCGTTGCCCATGGTGAGAAGAGGGAGTGGGGGTCTGCAATGTCACCAGAGATGCAGAAAAAAAATGTATTCTACAATACACACACACAC